GGGGCGCGCGGCCTCTGCAGAGGAGTGGGCGTGGCCCGCTCCGGCCCCGCCCCGGGGACAACCGGCCCAACCCCACTTCTGCTAGGGTGAGCGCGCCGCCCTCCTCCGGGTCTGAAATACCCGCTCTGCGCCTCGCGGCCAATCCCAAACCTGCCCCGAGCAGCCCGCTCTCCCCTTTGAGCGGTCTCGGCCCGCCCCTCCCAGGGCGGCTCTCCCGTGGCGCCGGCTTTCGGGGGCGATAGGGACCCCGGCTGCCCTACACACACCTCGAGACATGCTGTCCCCTCCTCCCGCCCTTGCGGGGAAAATGTCCTACTAAAATCGAGCGACTCCGCTCCGCGCGTGACAGCCCCGCAGCGGCGACCTGAAAGCGGGCGAGCCGCAGCCTCCAGCCCCCGGCGAGGGCAGACCGGCGATGCGGCGCTCGAGGCCCGCGGACACTGCGGCGCGGCCGTGATGAATAAATGAGTAACCACATCAATATTTAAGCGTTCACTCCCTGCGCCGTGGTGCCTGCGTCATGGGTGGGGGTTTTAAATAATTACTGACACCCATTATTAAGTGCCTACTATGTGCCGAGCCCTGAGTCGTGGCTCCTCGCCTCGTTTATTAGTAATGATAATGGTTAATAATTATAAATGCTGAATTTCGGCCAACACTGCCCAGCGTGCTTTATAGACATTACCTCATTTTTATCGTCAGGGCCACCCTGTGGGGTATGGTTTTTAATCCCTTTTTTCCAGAAGATAAAATGCAGTTTATGTAAATTTGCCCAGGGTCCAAACTGATGGAGGTGGGATTTGAATCCACCCAGTTGCCCCCAAAGCCTTTACTTTTTTTTTTTTTCCTTAACTTTTGGAGCCTGTACTTTCTTAATACAATAATTTTAAAATAAAGTGTAATAGACACCGTCTTTTAAAAATAGGTCAGACGGGCTTGTGAGGAAAAGCATAATATCCTCCCTCTCCACCCCTGAATTCAGGGATACCACTTACAGCCGTTCGCGTTGTCAGGCCCTGTGGCTGCCCCCACACGGCTGTGTAAAATGTTCCGTAGCTCTATCTGGACTTATCAGGGATGGTCTTTATTGCCTTCCTGCTATGATGGGTAATGATTTTTAGCTGGCTCACACCCACTTCCCTCTCTCAGTCTTGCATAGTTATGCTTTTATTTTTAGTTCATCTACTGGATATGATGAGAGTGGAAGCCTTTATTTTTTCTTAGGGAGGCTCAACAATACTCCTTGACTTTCCACTTCCCATGCCATATCCCCCACCAGAAGTACCAGTGCAGGGAACCAACAGATCTAGTAGAAGCGACCAGGGGGTCACAGCCCTAGTCCCCACAGCCTCCCACAACCCTCCACTCAGAAGACTGCGGTAGGACTGTAGGGCGTCCTGGGCTCTGGCTCTCAGCTTTCTGGCTTAAATATGTTCTCATCTGAAAATGAAAACAATGATTCCTACTTGAAGGAGTTGCTAAGATTATACAAAGTGTCAATTTTTCATTAGGCAGAGATCATCATAAATGATCCCAAGGCTGAATGCGATCACTATCTGTGGCAAACATACACAATTTTTTAAAAAACTAAATTGCATGGATATGGAAGTAAAACATCTGAGTTATTTATAATAAAAATGAATCCAAGGAATCTAATTATCAAATACAACTTTCCTTTTCTGACTATCAAAGTAATTTGGAAAATACAGAAAAATATAAGGAAAGTAAAAATAAATCATAATCCCACTATTCAGAAATAAACAATTACGCTGGTCGTGGTGGTGCATGCCTATAATCCCAGCACTTGGGAGGCTGAGGCAGGAGGATGGTTGCAAGTTCGAGACCAGTCTGAGCTACAAAGTGAGCTCAAGGCCAGCCTGAACTGCATAGCAAAGCCCTGTCTCAAAAAGACATAAATAAATAAATACCAATTTGTTATATTTCTTTCTAGATTTTGCACTATATTTATTTGTATACGTTAGAGTTTTAAGGCAAGTAGAATGCAGGACATGGGGCTGGGGATTTAGCTCAGCAGCACAGCACCTGCCTGGCAAGTGCAAGGTTGTGAGTTCAATTCCCAGTACCAGAAAAAAAAAAAAATAGTATGCAGGACTGTGGGCTCTGGAGTCCCAGTTCTACCATTTGCTTCCTGGATATTATCTCATTCAGCCTTGAAGATCACCACCCTTTGCTATTCCCTATAATGCTGATCTCTCAGTTCCACTGTTGAGGGAACTGAAGCAAAGAGAGCTTAGGTAATTGCCCCCAAGTTGCCAATTGGAAAATTGCAGAGACTGTGGAACAGGAGAGAAGAGCTCCTTTTAATTTTCTCCCATGGCTGCCCCAGCACTTTATAGCTGGCCCAACTACATCAGGCTCTCCAACGCCACTTTGAGAGACATTTGCTTTGGCTGCAGCTGGCTTAAGAGTCAGATTTGTCCTGGAGGATTCTGCCCTGCACCCTCTCTGAATGACTCTACGGCTCTGCAGCCCTCCTCAGTCAGGTTCATGAAGGGCCAATTCCCTGCCTTGTTTTGAACACATTACAATAAAGTAGATAACAGATAAATGTCATATATCAACTCATACAGCAAACCCTTATCTTATAAGCTATCTATAAACAGATATAAGGTCTTGCTCTCTGTTATTTATATGAATATGAGAGTAAATTGAGTTTATTTAGGATGGGAGAGCATACCATTTTTAACAGGTTTTTGGTTTTTTTTTGTATTGAACTGGGTTTTCGTAGCATCTGTATATCTTGAGTCCAGAGTATATGGCTTGTGCGCGAAGTTTAGCCTTTCGTTAGAGATGATCATGTTTGACTCGCAGCTCTGTGATGCCTCTTTATATGTGGCTTTGTGGTAATTTTCACACAGTTTATCTGTCTAGCTATAATAGTTGGGCCATTTTTTGGCATAACCAATCCATTTTGGGGGATGCTGCTCTCTTAGAGGTCTTGAAAACTGTCCTCCTCAGCTGTCAGCATGCCATGATGTCATTGCATACTTGACATGACCAACTCCATGTCCCTTACACCTGCCCATGACCAAACAGAAAGCCTGATACTGCACAAGCATGAGCCCACTTTTCTCCCTATATAAGCAACTGCCCCATATTCTTAGCAGGGTCAATCTGCACTGTTCCCACTTATGTTTCAGCCTAATTCCTAATAAAACCTCTTCTAGCTGGCGTATTTTTGCCTATTCTTACTTTCTGTCTCCAATAAAGAGCAGATACACTAGGAGCCGGTATTACCAAAGGCCACTCATGCCGAAAGATACCAGCAGCCAAGACTATTAGCCCTGAAAGTGACAAGCAGCAGAGGACTACAGGGAGTAACAGAAAATTGCCAGGAGCTGCCATCTCCGGAAATGCGCCCCCGCTTGGCTTGCTCTGCATAGCAAGGAAGGCGGCTAACACTGACAGAGCTGAGGGCCACTGGCATTCAAAGCTGTTAACACTGAACGAGCTACCCTTTGCCAGTTTGTGATTTTTATAGGAACTGAGCAAGAATCCTCAGCTGATTAGCAATACGTATCTCAGAAGCCCAGATGGGGAGCCTCCCCTTTAGAGGGCCTTGAAGAAGACAGACAGACAATGATGATCTGCAGGCTCAAAATCCAGACCATGTCTGACTTCCATCCTACTTGCAGCTAAGAATCCGCACTAGCTGGTGACGACTGGGCTTGAATTCGGGCCTCAGGGACTTTCCTGACTGGCACTCTGCCTTCACACCAGCTTACTGGTCATCTAAGCACTACACCCATTTACAGTCAAAGCAAGAAGTCTTCTCAGAGCCCTTTTATAGATGAAGTTGAGGTATGAAAAGGTTAACCAAGTACCCAAAGTTACAAAGTCAGGTTGAAGTCCCCGCTTTAAGAGTAGATTCTCCAAGGACCTTACAAACGTGATCGCTACCAAACTTCAACTAAATAAGTTGGTCAGGCTTCTTTAACGATCTGTTTCATGTTTGCCTCTTCTCCCGCATGACTGCCTCCACCTCCCTCCTCTTCCTCTCCATGGAGGAAGGGCCAATGAGAGCTCTCATGAGCTACTCTGCCTCCTTCCTCCTTCCCCTTGCCCTGCCTCCCACAATTTGGCAAGTTCAAATTTCCTGCTGGCTCTGGATTATGGTTGTAGGACGATAATAAAGCCAGGCAGAAATCCCCTGTGGGTCACTTGGCCATAGGAAGAAAGAGTCGGTCTGCCAGCTGTCCGCTGCTGGGAAAAAGTGGAAACCGCAGGTGGTGAGGTCTCAGCCTCCTAAATGCCTGTGTCCTCTTATAGAAGATGAGGTGGCCCAGCTCACCCACCGCAGCCTTGGAGGAATGAATGATTCTAAGATTAGCACAGGAAAGGCACATTATGAGCCTGTATCATTTTGTTGTTGTTGTTTTTACACTATGGAGCATTGAACATAGGACCTTCTCACTGAGCTATATACCCAATCCTTTTTTAATTTTTTATTTTGAGATAAGAACTTGCCAAGTTGCTGAATTGTTCAGTCTGGGCTTGAAGTTGCTGTCCTCCTGCCTCAGCCTCCCACGGTGTGGGATTACAGGCATGTACCATATGCCCACTAGTCTGAATCCTTTTGTAATGGTAGAAAGTCAGGATTGTGGGGGAGCTGAAGTATGTCAAAAGGACACAGGAGCCAACTGGAAAGCGCTCCCAGTGGCAGGAGTGAGGCCATTTCAACCACAAAATAAACAGTAGTACATAGTACAAGATTCTAATCCATAAAATAAATATTCTCA